GGAATGAACGGTAGGGAAGTGCAATCATTGATGAAATATGCTTGAGGACTTTACTTTCAGATTGTAAATGAACTTTGCTTGGTTTGAATCACTGATATTAGTTAGATCAATGTGATGGCGATAACTTAGTGTAAGAACAAAGGTAGTATGGAGAAGTCTCTAGAACGATTCGAACGAGGTTTTTAATTCTCTGAAAGAAAGAGGAAAATGAGGATATGTGATGGTTGTTCCTCTTACATCAATGGCTTTGGTATGTTTTTTGATCATCAGATAATTAACCATATGAAAGAAAATAATGTGAGCACCTTGAACTCTTCTCTAAAAAGATAGAAGAAATACGAGATAAAAGCAATTATTGTAGTAGTTGGCAACACCATGTTAAGTGTAGGTGACATTGCATGCTTGTCTTTATCTTTAATGTTAATGTTGAAGGATATAGTGGTTGGGTCGTTGTTCAATATGGACACTTGAGTGTCAAATATCGTCCCAGCCATCCTAGCCGTCCCTTGGCTCTTAATCCTATGGTCAGGATGGGGATCCGTGGGAGGCTCACATGGATCTTGCCTATCTCTTTCTATATTCGGGTGGCTGATTTAGGAAGGATTATATTAGGGCAATTATGCATGATTCCATAGTTATTTATTTATTTTATTAAAATATCTTGTATAGATTTATAAATATATATAAATAGGGATGCTTTTGTGTAATAAAAAAAAGTATTTTTCTTCCAATTCTCTAAATTTAACATTGAGAGGAGTAGTTCAGGTTAAACTGGCAAACAAAATTATTTCTATCTGTTTGGTGCATAAATTACGGTTGGTGACTATGTCCCATTCAAATGCTCACTCTTGTGTTTGGATTCATAAGGGGTCAAAGTTGAGAATAGATCATCAACGCTGGCTCTCAAATTTGCAATCACCGAAGTCCGCATTGGTGAAATTGTATTCCTAGATGGTACCACTTCTTGTAAGTCATCTTTGAGATCTCGTATCTTCTTGATGGTATGCAATATATTACATCGACGATTTGATTTATATGAGCTCATCATAAAAGGAAGGACTTTTTTGCTAGCAAAGATTATGTGTGTCAATGACTGGCATAGTAATAATAGGGTAAGCATATAGGCTTGTCAATGCAAGTTAGATATTCTTGTCAATGCAAGTCTACACCCTTAAATAAGGGAGTAGCCTTGCTTCTCAATTTCTCAACATTAGGCATAGAAGGTGATGTGCATGTGAAAAAGTCAACTAAGGAGCAAGACACAAAATCCATCATGGATATATCATTGCCAAATCTATAAATGCATTGCAACTTGGCCATCAAGATTAACCCACCAAAGTTATGGAAATCAAGAGAGGCCAAGATTGTGCAAAGTTACAGAACGGTGTACCCTCAACTGTTATAAAACATCTAAAAAGATTAAAAACTTGTCTTCCATGGTTGGTGAAGTTAGAAAGAGGTACCATTGCAATAGAACAAGTCAGAGAAAGAAGTACTCCCAAGACATGACTGAATCTTTTAAGAGACCCTAGAGATGTAATACTACCCAAGCTTCCTCAACTAAGAGGTTTCTAAAAGAAGCTTCTAAGATCTCCTAGGAACTTATTCAAAAATAAGTCCCAAAGAAAACAAATTGGTATAGCTTCAAGGTTGAAAGTCAGCCATCCCCTACCTAAAATTATGATTTCACTGGAATGAATTCCTATAACACAGGAGACCCATAATTTGAGAATAAGATATAGTAGGCGATAATTTAAATATTTTATGATTATAATTTGGGGTTTAGATCATGGATAGAAAATCATGTTTATTGAAGTTTTAATGGTCTGATTTCTCCATGAAAGTTATCAATGGCGGCAATTCTTAGATCACACAATTGAGACCAATGAGAATGCCCTTTTAGTATTTGTAGGCATGATTGGATTGTTAATTGAACATTAGACATAGGGGATCGTGGCATGAAAGCTGAACCATTGCGTAAGCTTTTGATTGCAGTAGGATAATGATTAATTTATTTTTTAAAATATTGTTTGTATAAGTTTTATTTGAATTTAAATTTAGATTATGATAATTCATATAGGAATTATTGTTTAGTTTGAACTGAACTAGGTTGTTATATTAGATATACTTTTTCTTTCTATGTGGACTTTGTTTTTGGAAAGAACAAGAGCTTGTCCTTGTTGTATCTGCCTATAAATAAACCTTATTTTCTTCTATAAAATCAACGGAGAATTTTCCTCAAAATAATTCTATTTTTTCTCTCTTTTTATCATTTTAATAATATGATACTATCATTTTTGATAAAAAAATGAGTGTGCTATTTCCAAAATATTGAGTTGTGGTCAGGCTAATTTCATAAATTGGATTTAAGATTCTTTTACTTTGCAGAATTTGGGTTGTATAGAGTCCACATTTGCCGATTTAATGAACATCAAAGTCAAGGAATTATGTTGAGGATCTAAGGTCCAAATTACATTCATATTAAAAAAAGAATGAGTTGAGATATACCTAAATTAATAGGAATCATGCTCCACATTTAATGGGTCTATTTTATGTTAATTTAAGCTAGATTCTTACACCATTAAGATGTCATCTTTGTCTTATGTAGACATGAACATTTACAAGGATTAATGTGAAACTCGTCAAATTGCACATGAATCAAAGTAGTTACAAAGATTGATTGGATTTGTTCGTAATTCAACTAGGTTGACTTGGATTGATCGGTGTTTGATTGAGGTGATTGTTGATCCCATAGGTTGAGTTTTGTAAGGAAATAACTCGCGGCACATTTCAAGACCTCCTCTAACCACTCTTTTTTAGGGGCGTCATGTGGACCCTCTGCAACAATTTGAGTTCGCCTCACACCACTAATATGAAGGAATTCTAAAGAATGAAGTAATACGAAGGTGCAAGTAATATCAAGTAATTTTAAGGAATAAATTAATATGAAGGTAAGGGACAAGTAATATGAAGAAATTTGAAGGAATAAAGGTTGACTAAAGCTAGCATGAAGAGAAATTATGCTACGGAAAATAATTTAATATCTCAAGAAGCATTCAATAAGGATAAATGGAGAATTGAGAATTCCTGAATCTAACTTTGATGATGGGACTCTACCGTTAAATACCTGTTCACTTTTTTTTTTTTAATACCTTTTCACTTGTATTTATAAGTATGAAGAGAAAGTTGCCACCATTAAGGGGATTTTTTGTTTCAATGTTACGTAGATGACTGTGTTCTCTAGATAATATTGTTATCAAGTTATATGTGCTATCTATTAACTGTACAAAGTTTGTTTCAATGTAATATTGGATAATGAAATGCTATTCAGAAAGATAAAAAATGATTATCATTTTTTATGTTATTTCTTTTAGCTCTATATATAGTCTGACATTTAGATATCAATAGATCGTCCTTTCCATGCCATCAAAATAGGACTTATGACTTTGTTTTGGCTTGAAGGAATTGAAAAACAGGCACAGAAGAAATGGAAATGGAAGTACTGAAGTAATTGAATTGAAAATAGTTTTCACCCGCTATTTTGCTTGGGGAGAAATTGAGTGGAAAAATAATCTCCTTTTTGTTTGGTTTGAAGGAATAACCAATAAATTGAAGAATTAACACAACCTAATGTCATTCATACTTCAAACTTACCTCACCCTTTCATCAAATGATGGAGAGAAACTTGCATATTTTTTAATTTTCTTTCTTAAATTAATCTCCTATGAATTAGACGCAAACCAAGACACCAAGTCTAATAGGATGCAAATTTCTTTTCCACTTAGTTTGTTAACATAAATGATCAGGGACCCTTGCATACTTTCAATTTCTTGTTATTTGCCTCAACATGCACATCAACGTTCCTTTTTTGCTTTTTTTAATTGATTGAAGTTATAAAACACTTTCATAAAATTCTTTAGATTCTGACATGAGAGAAAATTTGGTGGAGATATTCGGATTTGGATCTGTCTTGAGAAGAGTGCTATATATGGATAGTTGATTAGCTTTTATATTGCACTCATATAAAAAAATGTAAAAATTTATAAATTCATCCGCGGATCATTTTGATTAGGATATCCTCATCCAAAATTTTTCTTTGGGGTAATAGTTTTTTTTTTTTTTTTTTTTTTTTTTCACACACAAGGCGAGTAAAAAACAAATTCTTTACATAGAAGCAAATAAAGCCCTTACCAAAAAATCCTATGAATGCCCATATCACAACACAGTAGATAGTGACTGCTGCATTTGGCTATAATAACATTCCTTCATTTATTTAGCTGCCACAGTGCTACTCTGTCGTAGTAGTGCTGCTATGCTGCAAATATTAATGTTCTAAGAATTTCATTGTGTCAGTAGCCAATTAATCTAGGACATATGCAAACATATAGACATCTTTTTTTTTGGATATTTGGCCACTTAAGTCAGACACAAATAGGGGTGCAAAGTGCAAACGAGTCGAGTCGAGCTCGAGTTAGGAGGTATTCAAGTCGAGCTCAACTGTCAAATACCGAGCTCAAGCTCGAGTTGAACTCAAAAATCGAGCTTGAGCTCGACTCGTTCCATCGCAAATGAGTTTGAGCCGATCGTTGAGCCTCCGGCGCGGTCCTCAAAAAAAATATTCTGGTCTTTTTGGGGTTGCTGTTTGCGGGAGGAAGAGAGAGAGAGTATTGAGCAAAAATGAACTAGCTGAGCTTGCTCAAGCTCGAACTTGAGCTCGTGGCCGGCTCGGCTCACTTGCACCCCTAAACACACACACATCGCATACACTAGACTCGAACCCAAGATTTCTTAGTTGGTAGCTTAAATTGCCAACCAACACATCAAGATGAGCTGTGTACATATAAAATCCATGTTAACATAATATAAACTTCTCTTTGGTTCTCTACCATCATCATAAATCTTTCTTCTCGTCGAACTGAGAAATATCTTTTTCATTTAACCTTTTTCTTATTATTATTATTTTTTCATGTCCTATTCCTACCTGACAAACTCCTAAACAGGTCTCCATCTGTATCTCGCATTCGAGCCAAGATGCTCTATGCAACCACCAAGCAACGATTCAGGCGAGAGATGGACGGAGTTCACTATGAGATTCAGGCGACAGAACCTTCTGAGCTTGACATTGAGGTACTCAGAGACCGAGCAAATTGATAAGCAGTATTAGTAGATAGCTTATTAATCACGCAAAACACATTTAATATCCCTCCAAATGATTGTGGCTTTCATATTTGGATTATATATATGAAACTCTTATACTGCTTGAATATATTTTGTAGACATGCTGTATGCTTTGGATTTATCAACCTGTTTTTGATCTTGTTAAGCTTTAATTAGTCTTGATCTTGATGATAATATGTGTATTTTTTTATGCACATATCTATTGCAATGCTGTAACAAATTTCGGTTTAAGCTTATCTACGTTTTGAGCAAGGTTTTTAATACCGGGAATGGGATAAGCAGTTTAATAGATTAATTATAAAAAGGCAAAATTTCATGTACTTTGGCTTTGTTTGGGTCAATTTTCTTATGACCATATAAAATTGTTGTAGAGAAAATGATTTTTTAAAATTGTTGTAAAAAGTATCTTTTTAGCATATTATATATATAGCAAAAAAGTATTTAGTGGTCAAATAAAAATTATAGTTATTGTATGAAAAATAAAATAATAAAAAAGGTACATCAAACAAGTCTTGGAGCCTTGGAGGCATGTCATAGTATGATTGTTTTCAACTTCTTATTGGTTAGTTATGACTTAGAAAATTTAAGCTTGCTATAATTGTTTTTTTTTAGGTTTTGTTTGAGATTGTTTTTTTTTTTAAATTGTTTTGTAAAATAGTTTTTTATTATAAAAAATTTTTATTTTTTTATTAAAAAGCTGATTTTGAAAGTAGCAAAAAAGTTGTCCCAAATGAAGTCCTTAATCTAAAACTAATTTATTAAAAGCCCTTAATCTAACTCATTTTACAAAATTTCAAAGGAAAAAAAGTACATTTATTTTTAAAATAGAAATGATAGGATCATTAATAAGGTTTTGTTTGGCATAAATTTTTTTTATTATTTATAAAATTAATTTTTAATTTAAAAAAAATTATACTAAAAATAACTTTAAGAGATTGTAAAAAAGAGAGTCTCAAATTAAGCTTCAGTTGTCTATAAATTCACTGGAGAAATAAAAATTTTTTAAACAGGGGCTTGATTTTAAATTTGATTAAGTTGATTTTTATATTCATATTCAATTAATCACTTTATTGTTTATATGTATTATAAAAATACAATATACTCCATGAAGATGTGTTTGCAAATTTCGTTCAATTTTTTTTTTGAAAACCGCTCACAAAAAGCTCCTAACATAAAATTTATTTAATTCCGGAGGGGCAAGTGCCCACCTAGGACCCCCTCTCTTTGGAATTTTTATTCCGTCAGGTTACCTAATGTAGCTCTACGTCAGGTAGCCAATAATATGTCGTCACGTGCTCTTATTCTTTACTGTGCGACCCGACGACCAGATTCAGACCGAATCCGGGATTACTATGTTCGAGTATTGCTCGGTATTTGCTCGGTATTGCTAGGTATTACTCGGCATTGCTTGACAATAACGAGAAATACCGCTCTGTGAAGACCTATACCGAGCAATACCGAGCAATAACGAGTAATACCTAAAAGAACTCGGTATTGCTCGGTATTGGTCTTCACAGAATGATATTTTTCGTTTTTATCGAGCAAAATCGACCAATACCTAGCAATACGCAAACTCCCGGGTCCGTTCCGAGTCGGGTTATCGAGCCGCGCGGTAAAGAGCAAGAGCACGTGGCGACATATTATTGACTACCTGACGTAAAGCTACATTAGGTAACCTGACGGAATAAAAATTCATCTCTTTGCCCCCATCTATTATAGATGTTTTGAAGTATTACGAAATAAAGAAGTTAAATAAAATTCGATGCTTTAAAAGTTTGTTTAATAATATTTTGAAAGAAACAATCACGAAAATAGAGAGATGGCATTCAAAGTAATATGTCGAAGAGACTCATAATTATTGTTATAAAGATTAATTAACTAATATTTAACAATAAATGAGTTTTTAAATTTCTGTAATTGCTAAATTGAGAACAATTGTTAAGCAAAGTTTTCAATTCCTCGATGTTGTTCGAGTTTAAACATTAAAAAAAAAAAAAAAAAAAAATGCTATGCTGTCTAACTTGAATATGAGTTAAAAATTTTCGGTTCGAGTTGATTTGTTGAATAAACAGGTCAGATTTAGGCTTAATTTTTTAAACTCATTTATTAAACAAGTTGGGTTCAGTTGACTTGCGATTTTTTATTTGAAGAGGATTTGTTTAATATTTTTTATTCTTTAATTTTTTTGGTATAATTTTTTTTTTAAAAATTTTTGATCAAATATTTCAAACTCAAGCTTCGACTTACTAGCGGGTTTGATTTGGGTTGGTGCTTCGATCTATTTGTTAAATAGGTCGCATTTGAGTTGATTAGAATCGGGTTGGTGTGGGTATGGGCCCTGGGTGACGTGGCACGTCCGGATTCGCCTCTGGACGAATCCAGACACCACACGTAATCATTTTTCCTCAACATTATTGTCATCATTCAAGCTAATTCCTTTCAAGAGCAATACATCAAAGCTTCAATTATCAAAAGTAAGCAGCAGAGACTTGCATTGGGTACCCATACCCACACCCACCCATGTACCCACCCATACCTAATGGGTGGGTATCCAACATCGGGGGATAAATCGATTTACATTGCTAATCATTGTATATCTTATATTACTGCTATCCTCACTATGTAATGTGCAACACTTACCCACGCAGCGATTACGGTAAATTCTGATGTGCGTCTTAAAAGTTTACAATCAGAGCAAAGGGCAACAAGCCTCAAGGCCATCAATTTGTGCCAGACTGCATTCAAAAGCATGGAAAGTTGGTGGGTATAAGTGGGTATGACATTCCGAAAGTCACCATGGGTGAGTGTGGTGGGTGTGGGTGGGTGAAGCCCGTTCGAGTAAAGCATGGGTACCCAACCAGGATCCCATATAGGGATTTGGTAAGCAGATCATCTTAGCCATCATAGTTGGGAAAATGCAGGAGCGGATCCAGCTTCTTTTTTCAGGGTGGGCAAAAAATAATTTTTTTGTGGGGGATGGGCAAAGATGCTTAGAATTGATTAAATGAGGGCAAAAAATTTTTTTGAGAGGGGGCAAAATACCCATAATACCCAAAATATTTTAAAATATCCCTCTAAAATTAAAAAAAAAAAAATTTTGAGCGAGGGCATTTGCCCCCCCTCAACTCAATGAGGATCCGCCCATGGGAAAATGTGGAGAAGAACTTTTGTTTGCTGCAGATTCATTCTATCAATCCCATTACTTTAATCCATGAGGATAAACATTCTAAGACTTCATTTGAGATTTTTTTTTTTAAATTATAAAATTTTTTGTACTAAAAAGATACTTCAAAAAATAATAAAAAAGCTGTCCCAAACGAATCCCAACTCTCTTGTAATTTGTCGATTATAAACCGATTCTTTTGTGTGATATTTTTTATAAAGTTATTGTAAAAGATGTCAGCTAACGTATTTTGAAGGGTTTTGTTCTTTCATCATTCATGAGGTTTAATGAACTTTCATTATGAATGGGGACATTGTTGATAATATAAATTTAACATATGACTTACATTTTTAAATCTGGGAAAAGAAACTTAGATATGAATGATAGGGGATTCGACAGTAACATTAAAATGGGAAGTTCACTTGAAAAGATTCATAAAGCAGTTGCTGACAAAGTAAGAATGGTGTGAGAACACCCTACAATAATCTAGGTTATTCACTAACTTAATCATCGCATTTTTAGGATTAAGCAAAGTGACAGAGAAATCACCAAAGAGCTTCAAGTTGAATAAATTTTTTTTGAATCGTATTGAGGGGTAGACGTCGCCCAGGAACCTTCCCACCTAGAGCAAATTCAAAAGGGGCCACGAGAGTTAACACTTCCTCATCTGAAATACACAAAGATGTCAAACCATGAGAGGTGATCTTAAGCGGAGGAAAATCTGGAGAGACCGAAGCCCCAAACTAAGCATCTTTAAAATTCTGTGATTTGGACTTCCTATCCGAAAATTCGGGGTCAATCAAACTATTAAAAACCATTCAAACTGAAAAACTAGTCGAAGGAAGGAAAATCAGAAGAAAAATTAGGAAGATTTAAGGAAAAAGGAAGGAAATTGCCCAGTCGAACTAGACAGAGCATGGAGCACGGAGGAAGACGAAAGCCATAGACATCGCATTTTGAACATTTTTTTTGTTACGTAGAATTCAAGTTGGAATATTGAAGTGGATGAATGCATTAGACTTGTTGTGTGATAGAAAATTCCCTCTCTTACTTAAGAAAAAAATTTATAAAATGATGGTGAGACCTACAATGCTTTATGGTGTAGAATGTTGGCCATTAAAAGAGAAGCATAATATTAAGTTAAGTGTTGCATAGATCAGGATGCTCAGATAGATGAGCGGCTTTACTCTTAGAGGTAGGATAGGAAATGAGCATATACCTGAAAAGGTTGGAGTAGCTCTTGTGAAAGATAAGATAAGAGAGAGTCGCTTTACATGGTTTAGTCACATAAAGCGACGGGCTTCCGATGACCCGGTTAGAAAAGTATATGTATTGGATTTGACTTATGTTAATAAAGTTAGAGGTAGAACTAAAAGACTTGATAAGAAAATATTAGAAATGACAGTTCTTTGTTAGATTTAAATGAGAATTTAACTCTTAACAAGACACAATAGAGAAAAAAAATTAATATAGTCAACCCCACAGTGAGATAAAGGCTTGATGTTGTTGTTATTGATTGTCTATATAATTTTAAATAATGATTGGTGGGTCTATTCTAATATGACAATGCTCAGTCAGTTATTTTCTCTCGCTAAAGTTTCAAGGTAAAAAAAAATTACAACTAGTATAGAAACTTCTTAAAAACAACGAAAAAGTAATGTTCAAAAGCTGTCCAAATGAAGCCAAAGTCATCAGACCGTCTTTTTTTCATCAATTTTTTTTTTAATTTGACGTTTCTTTTTTAATAAAAGAAAAAAATATGTCAAAATATTTTGATAAATATAATATTAAAATAAACTTAATTTATTAAATTTATTTTAAAATTAATATTACAAATAAAAGATTTGTATTACCTTAATTGAAAAATAAATCTAACAATATTTAAGATAATTTATATCATAACATCTTAAATTTATTTTAATTAAATAACCGAATAATGACAAACACAGAAATTAAGGCTCTGTCATTTATAGCTTATATTCAAAGGAGAAGAAGCAATGAGGAA